CCCGCCTCGGTCCGCTCCACTCCCCTAGTCATCTAAGTGATCACGAAGAGGAAGAAACTGAGAGCAGATGTCTGTGTGATAGGGCAGGCGGGCCCGGAGTCGGGCTGTCCTCCCTGCGCCCGGCTCCTCCTCCCGCCCCCCTCCAGGACTGGGCTGGAGGCGACCGTCTGGTTTGTGATGGGGAAAGGTCACGAGGAGGGGGACTTCTCTGTAACACGCGCGTTAGCCGGGACAGTCAGCGTGCGGCCGCCGGGAACCTTTCTCCTGTGCTAAAGAGGTGCCAGGCCAAGGTCAGCTGTGCTCCGCGGAGCTCTGCTCCCTGACCTGCAAGGACCAGGCCAGAATGCCAGGCGCTCACTCCATTCCCACTCTGTTCTGGACGTGGTGGAAATTTTTCCCTCAGTCAACTTCTCTTGACTCCTAAGAGACCCTGGGTAGCATATTGCCCAGAGTCATGGGGACATGGACCAATCAGGGTGACGGCCTTGGTGATGAGTCCTGTGTTGGTTGGAAAATAGTGCGTGTGTGTGTGTGTGTGTGAGTGTGTGTGTGTCTCTCTCTTTCTTCTCTCTCGGGGTGTAACTGTGTGTGGTATTGCCTGCAGTACCACTAGATCTCCTTAAGTAGCAATAAAGTAAAATCTTTCTAAAGTGACTACGAATCCACAAAAGTATTCTTGTTTTTCAAAGTTTTAAAAATGTTATTAATCTCATCTTGAGAAATGTGTTTTAACTTGTTCATAAACAGATACCTTATTTCACCCCCACCCCCACCCCCACCCCTTTCTTTGTTCTTCTACTTCGTTCTTCCTTGAAATCTGGCAGGAGAATCACGAAGGTAAATCCTTGAACCAAGCAAATCTCTTAAATCAGCAGGGGAGCACGAGAGGGTGAAGATGGGCAGTTAAGGAAATAAAAAAGATAAAAGCATTGGATTACAATTCTTTCCTTTAAAACAAAAATTAGGGGGGTTGTCACATTGTATGGAAAGGAATGAGAGTGAAATTAAATCCACCTGGAACTTAGAAAGAGCCCTCCCCGACCGAGCACAATCCTGTGACGGCAAGTCTTGTCAGAGCAGTGTGTATAAATGTATCTGCCGATGTGAGTCTGCGTACATTTCTGACGGACTTCATTCTTTTGTGCAAGTTCCCATCAGCTAAGCATCCGTGTACTCAGGACCGCAGTTTCATTTGTAAAGTACCCGGATGCTTACCTTCCTAGGTCTAATCCTGGGGACTGCCACTGCTACTGATCTTCCTGGTTCCTTGACGCGATGATTCTCCTAAACCTTTTCAGCTCTTCAACAGGGAGCCTAACTGGGTCTTTTTTGGGTGGATAGTACAATTTCAGGAGGAAAACAATCACCACCACAACAAAGAAACACTTTTACCCTAGAGAGGATGAGTATCAATTAGATTATCCGACTTTTTTATAGCGTAGCCCATCACCTAGTAAGTCTCATCTTTTATTTCTTTTACATTAATTTAAGAGTAGGGGAGGCTTATTTGTTCATAGCCTGCTAGCCAAAGTGAGACTCCCCCCAGCTCCTTCAGGGTGAAGACCTGTGGTGTAGACTGGGCGCTTGTGGGAACCCCATTCACCTGGTTGGGGGCTGGGGGGTGTTTCCAGGCCTACTGCTGGCGGGCTGGGGCGGGATTTCTGCGGCCACAGCGCCTCCTGTCGTGAGGACAGCTATGAATTTTCCAGACTGGCACCCTCTGAGAGCGTTGCCAGGTTAGAAAGGCACGAACCCAGTCTGCTTTTCTCAGCCAGCGATTCTACCAGCTGACCACCTGGGCCAAGAAGAAAAGGCC